CTGAAAGAACCAAAAACTCAGCACAAGCTATCCCAGGACTTATACCAATACCTAATTTTTCATGACATGCTCTGACAACTTTGTTGACTATGGTCCATATTTCAGAAGTTTAGTACATAGACCACCTGTTTCCGACTAGCATTCAAACTGTTTCTATTGTACAATCAACAACAGCTGCTGAAGGGTCTAAAATATCAAGGATTAGGAATGGACAATTATTAATGGCTATATTATACTAAGATAGGTCAAAAAACTTTCTGCTAAAGATGCATTTCACAAATGCATCAATACTTTCTGTAAACATATATGTACATTTCACACTGCTTTCTTCATTTTGTTCTTAAGACCACTTACTGTAATTCAAACTTTAGGGTTGTTTTACCTGCAAGCACAGCAAATAGTTGTGCCACTCTGATTGTGCTAGGGACAGCAGAGGAGGTGAGTTGTGCAGAACCCTGCATGTAAGCTTCCAGATCACTGCATGGTTAAGAAGTTCTTAACAGGGGATTTTCAAATTCTCGTGTGTGTAAATTAATACTTGTTAGTCATCCAAGAGGCTGTACAATATCTTACTGTTGGAACATTTTTGTGGAGAGATTAAAAAGTCTGCAGCGACAACAGGAACTGTCTCACCCAAGCAGAGATGCTAAGCATGCACATTCCAAGCCAAGAAGGAAACCAAAGATGCAGGCAAGTGAAAGTTGACAATTTAATCAAGTAAAATCTGGAAAGTAGAATCTGGCAAGAATTAAAGCAAGAATTTTGATGTCATTTATCAAGTGGTTAATTGTTTAAAAATAAAGTTTAAGACCTAACTAGTGCTTTGCTTAAAACGCAAAGCATATTTATAAACTGATATATTCCCATCAGACTTTCAGAAGTGTGATGAACCATAAGGGCTTGTCTCCAGGTCAAATTTGTTGTGGATCAACTTGAAATGTTTCTCATTAAAACATCTTACAGCCATATGCAAAATGTTTTGTTACAAATCTTGCTCTTTAATGCATGTTATAAAACCCACTTTGGAGGTGGGTTTACTTAGATGCAGGAGGAGCTTAATAGCTCCACAGCAAAATATATGTGGATACATCTGCATCCTGTACCATGTGTTGCACATCTATCAAGTCCTCCCACCAGTATCCCATACTGCTTTGCTGTCTACCTTGGTCTCCTATAGACCTCATTCTGCTCTGGGGTCATTCTGACCGGATGTCACCTCACTGTTTAAAAGGTCATCCTGAGCCAGGTGCCATCCTTTGTGATTCCATCATGAGGAGTTCATACATAGCAGTGTTATTCTTGTAATAACTCTCTAGTAATGCCTCATGCTGCTGTTTGGTGATCCCATACTATGATTCTGGCTTTTTAGACCTCTTGGGATAGGAGCTTTATCTAGCCCGGCTGGCTGGCAGTAAGCCGATATGCAAGCATCATGGCAACTGTTCAGTCAGGAGCACAACCAGAACACTTTCCAGTGCTGCAGTATAACAGAGGAGCTCCAGCTGGGACTACAGACATTCAAAGTACTATTTGTCTGAATAGAGAAGTGGCACAGTCTGATCTTACTATGCGGACTTTGACTGTTCTTTGCTACATGTGTCACCATTGTACCAGTGTTTGTTGTGAACAGTCTGACTGATCCACAATGACCTAGGTGAACCCTGAGCCAGTCAGTCATGAAGGTCCCACCACCTCTATTTAGAGCAGAAGGATGAGTCTGAACCATAAACAGAGACCCATACTGTGGATAGCATCAATTCCTGGAAGTATTAAAATGATACCTCAAAAGACAACACAATGAGAGGGCAAGTTACATATGTTGGGTACTGCAAGGATGTCTCCATGTTGGCATAACTTTTCACTGATTCATGGGCTTTTAAACTCCATCCCCAATGCTTAACGCAAAGGTGGCACTGGAGACTGCACAAACTCATTTATAGTAATAAAATACCCACAGAAACACTGTGTAACCTTCCTATGTCCTGTCCCATACCCCCATCGCAGGGCTTATTAGTCTTTCCCCCTCCACACAGTCACCTCCCCTTCCTTCACAAAAACAGTGGAATTGCATAGCTTAACAAGAAAGGAGATTCTTACTGAAAATTATCTTTTTTATTTATTTTTTATTTTTCAGCATGTCAGCAGGATCAGGAAGAGAAGAAAAAGACACAAAGCACCTTGGACTATGGAGAGGCAGACTATGTTCCTAGAGCAGATGGCCTACTAACTTTGCACAGCAGTGCAGCAGCTCAATAAAATTTTAAAATGCTTATAAAGTTCATCTTAATTTATTATTTGTATTATTTACAAAAATAATCTGAAAGTGTGTTTTCATTCATGTTTGAATCTTAGACCTTCCTTTCTATTGCAAAGCATCCAGTTAAAACCACCTAACTGGTACAGTAATTCCATCAAAACAAGTACTATACTAAAAGCATTGCTTTACAAACTGCACATACAATGCATTAAGAACAAAGAAATATGTGTAGTAATGTTATGACATGCCTTACACAACATACGCATTTCTCATGAGTAGGAGCAAAACATATCCATCACAATTATTCTACACATCGGCCTCCTCCCTCGCTGTTCAAAATGTTCACCACGTGTGCACATCCCACTCCCATCATGTGCAATGCTCTCCCTTGCTCTCACAAAGATTATATCTGGTTGCTGTGTTTTGTACAATCAGAAGATGTCCCTCATCAGCATCCAGACTTGACATCAGGATCCTCCATCTACTTTTCAGTCTTCCAAATGCACATTCCAGTGTCTTTCTGCAACTACTCAGGGTATAACTAAGCAGTTCCTTTTGCCTCTCCAGTGACAGGCTTCCTAGGCCAGGAGAGCAGAGAGTAAACTATCTCCTAGAATGACTGGAGGAATGGCAATGTCATTAATGTTCATATAGACCATCAGTGCAAAAGTTCCATTTGTCATTACATGAAAGTGTCCAAACCTTCTAAAAATCATGGTGTCGTAGACATTTCCAGACGACCCCACATACATATTAGTGAATGTTCCACACTGATCAACCAAGCCATGCAGCACCACGGAGAAATAATCCTTTCTGTTGATGAACCCTGAAGCCTGATGTGGGAGGCAAAGAATGGGCACATGGGTCCCATCAATGTCCCCTATGCAATTAAGAAACCCCAATCATGCAAAGCCATTAATAGCTACCTGCACATTGCCTAGAATTATGACCTAGAAGGACACCACCTTGATTGTGGTGCACACCTCCATGGCAACAGCCTGATGTTTGATCCACCAACATCAAACTGGCTACTAACTGATCAGTAGCAGCCAGGGGTGAAAAGCTTCCAGATGGCAATAGCCACATGCTTCTCCATGCTGAGGGAAGCTCTCATGTACATGGTCTACCACTGCAGCTCCAGGGGCAAGCTCTGCACAAAGTTCTAGGAAAGTGGCTTTTGACATCTTGAAGTTATGCCACCACTGCTGGTCATCTCAGGTCTTTCCCACCAGTCAGTACTACATGGCAAAACCAAAAAAGCAGTGTTCTGAGTGAGCCGAGGAAGTGTGATTATTTTCAGTCTCCTCCTTCTCAGGTTCCCTTATTATTCTGGTTGTACAGCCATTGCACAACTTGAGATGATATACCAGCAGTCTTTATATGTATGACAACAAGGATTGCAGTGCTCAACAACACTTCCTCCATGCTGTCTGACAGTGCTTTAAAAGTGTCACTGGATCAGAGAAACAAGGAGGCTGATGCGGTGAAACAAGATGAAAAATAAAAGTTATTCTGTTTGACCACAAACCCCAGAATTCCATTGCTTTCTGGTACAAAAAACTCAAAATGTAGAGTGCAAAAAAAAAAAAAAAATAAAAAAAAAAAAAAAAAAAAATAAAAAAAAAAAAAAAAAAAAATAAAAAATAGAAAAAAAAAAATAAAAAAAAGATACAAAGAATA